ATATGTTGTTAGGAAACTGCAAATTAGAACAAAAATACTACTTTATGAAACAGACAAAAGTACAATCTACAGAATTTGAATGGCACAATTAATTACTGTAATTTAATGGGTCTACTGAAAAGTTATATCCATAGAACAAAGACTATGCACTTTTATTAATTAGCCTTGGGATATTTCCGAAAACTTACTGCTTATTAAACTCCTAAGGATAGATTACATTCTCTGTCCATAGTAGAATAACAATAGATATAAATGAAAGAATAGCAAAAAACCTATTCATTTAGAAATTTAAAACATTCTTCCAAGTATTTCTTAAATTGGGGGTGTAGCTCAGTGACACAGTGCTTACCTAGCAAGCTTGAGGTCCTGAGCTCAATCTCCAACACCACAAAAACAACGCAAGCATGTGTTAAATTTAAAAAGAAATACTGAACTTCCATTTCATTTAGAAAGACATGAAAATAAAGTATTATCGAAGCACTTTATTGTTGCCAGGGTCTGTCACCACACGGAGACTTGATGGCTTTGGATGTGCCTTTTTAGAAAAACAAACTGAAAACAAATTAACCAAGACTCCAACTCAGTAACTAGCAACAGAACTAGAAATTAAAGGAAGGATAAGAAATAATTACATACAAATAAGAGCATAAATTAGTGAAACAGAGAACAAAGAAGAAACAGATTTGATTAATGAAACCAAATCTCATTCTTTGAGAAGACCACAATAAAACAAACCACTTAGTGTCCTTGACAAAAAGCTGTCTCCACCAACTCTCCCTCTCTTCTTCTCTCCCTTTTTTGATTCTTTTTCAATTAAACATAAAAAATAGGAAAATAGTTTTCATAAAAAATATAACACACTTTTAAATAACAGGATACTGCATGTTTCTAATATCAAGAATTTTGAAATGACAATACCAAAAAATGTATACACACTTCAGCAGTTAGCCATAAGAAAAACACATAAATTCAGAGAGCTAAATACAAAATCAATATATAAAAATAGTATTCAGAGAAATTACAAAACATAATGAAATATATTCCATTCTTAACAGCAATAAAAATTATTGGAATCAAATATAGAATATACAAGAAAATTATATATACATATACATATATACATATGTATATATGTATGTATGTATGTATGGTATCAGGAATCAAACTCAAGACCTTATACTTGCCAGGCACACACTTGTGCCACAGAGCTATACTCATGACCCAAGAAAATTATATAATGTTATTGAGAGGTTTAACAACATAAATAGAGATAAAACATCATGTGCTTACGTAACAAGTTTAAAGATTATAAAAATGTCAATTCTCAAGAATGTAAATTAGGCCCCAGTGTAAATCGTAACCCAAAATGTTTTATGAAATCTGATAAGCTGATTCTAGAATGCATCTAGAAGATAAAAATATACTAGAAAAGCCAGGATAAGCTTAAAAACAAAATAAGCAAAATGCCAAAACATATTATAAGGCTAAGTAGCTAAAAGTGTGACACTGACACACTGATAAATAGATCAACAGTATAAAATATAGACCTCAAATAAACTAGAAATTATAGTTGGTATTTCAAGAAGGGGAGAAAAGATGAACAATTTAATGATAGGAAATTTTAAGTCTATCTTGTATTATATACAAAAATTAATTCTAATTTTATTTAACAGCTGATTCTAAAATAATACCATAAGTTTTAAATGTATGTTACTATTTACCTGAATCTAGTCGTCCTTCTTCTGACAGTAATAGTCCCATTTCTCTTTAGTAAATATCTTTTCCTACATTGTATGAAATCTTAACTATCAATCAAAGCTCCATCCCTTCTCAGACTAAAGGGCTAGGGATCAAGTGTTAGGAAACTCACAGGAAGCCAGCAAGACTCTTCTGGGATTCTATTATCAAAAAATAAAGAGTCTTGAAGGGAATGATGTGCTAAGAAAATGGTGAGCTAATTCTCTCCAAAGAGATTTCCCAAATACCTGAACAAGTTCAGTTTTCTATTTCCAGATCCTAGATATTTGAGTTTTTTTCTCTTTCAGTGGGCTACTATCTCACACTCTTCCAATAAATTCCTTTTTGGGTCGAGGTTAGTGTTACGGAAACTTTCTGTAGTCTGCAACCAAAAGCACCTAATACAGAATCCTACGTAACCACAATTTAGCCTGGGGTGTTTTTTTAAGGACAGCAACAAGGTGCTGTACAAGAAACAATAAGCAAGGTGAAAGACAAGCAACCATAAGAAAACTATATAAAGTAAGTACAAGGTCAGTTTTCTATTTACAGCTCTGTAAATAAAAGTAAACAAACAACAAGTAGAAAACCAAACCATTTATATAATCAAGAGAGCATGAAATGTAAACATCTAATAAATATGTTAAAAATGACCACATTAGCAAAACAATATACAAATTAAATAACCATGATGCAACTGTTTTTCACACAAGAAATTGAGAGAAATTAAGACGATACCAACATTAACAAGACGTAGGAAAATGGCCACTTCCTAAACTACTGGTCAAACAATGTAAGCTAATGCTGCCTTTTGAAAGGACAATTTGCCATGACACTTATCAAAACTTAAAGTTGGCATTTTCTTTCTTTCAGTAATTTCACTTGCAATAATTTATCCATAGAAAAACACATCCACTAATAAAACTGACACATACAATAATAAAATTATAAATAACATAAATGCTAGAAAGACATTATTAAGTAAATTATGTCATGTTCATAACTAGGAAAGCACTGCTGCTATTCAGAACCAGGTAGATCCAAATGCATTAAATGCAACAATTTCCATTATATATAAAGTGACAAAAGTAAATCACAAAACAATACACTTGATATATTGCTTGCCTTAAAAACTTGTCTCTTAAAATATAAAACTATATTATATATATTGGGGCTGGGGATTTAGCTCAGCGGCATAAGCACCTGCCTTGCAAGCAGGCGGTCATGAGTTCGATCCCTGGTACCGATAAAATGAAAAAGACAAAAAAAAAACCACACAAAAAAAATATAAAACTATATTATATATATCATATAATACATATATAATATATAAATATATAAACTAAAGCTATATAATAAAGGCAAAGGCAGAATGAAGGGTCTGGAAGGATATACACAAATTCATTAAAAGTGGTTTTCCTCCAGTAAAAATGCAACTGTTAGATAAAGAGACTTTCTTGCCTTTTACCCTAAATGCTTCTTTTATTTCATGTTTCTGTATGAATTACATAATACAATATTCTATAGAGAAAGTAAAGAGTAAATAACACCAAAAGAACATTTCACTAGTAGAAACTCTGCAGATTTAAAATTTTAAACTACATAATCCAAATTTTTAAATGTTCTCACTCAGATACTATCGAATATTCTATTACTCAATTTACAATTGATGAAACTGTAATAAAAAATTTTGGTAAAAGACTCAGATACTGTATATCAATTGGAAATTAATGTAATTATATAGTCTCATAAAAATAAAATTTAATGAAAGTACTGAATCCTAAGAAATTTAAAAAGTAGTAACTTTCTTTTTACTTTCTTATTTATTTATTTAGTTAGTTAGTTAGTTTTCTGAGATCTATTTTAAATCCGCAGAGCCAAGTATAGCTGGCCGGTTGACTACCCAGGTGGGAAGCATTTCGCAAGTCATGAAGCTCTTCTCATTTCTCAGTTTGGTTCCAGAACTCTGCAGTTAGTGTGGTGAGATTGCAAGTTCTGTTTATGCGGTAACATCATTGCGAGTAGAGGTCTCAGAGAAGGAATTCAGAAGATAGTTTTTTCTTACTCTGAGGACAGAACTCAGGTTTGCCCCCAAACTGCTCCACTCCTCAAACACAGCTGTGCCTGGGGCTGCCCAAAGACCTCCTAGGCTTACAGTTCTGCCTATTTCCTTCCAAAACTCACAAAATTCCATCCCATTCCCCGCTCCAGGACCATCAAGTTACCACTGCGATGCTTCAGGGTGTCCGAGGATCCTTTGCAGCTCTCAGTAAGAAATCACAGAAACTAGTGATGCACTCAACTCCAGGATCCAAAAAGTAGTAACTTTCACATAGACATATGTTCACCAAATTCATCAGGTCAAAGTTTACTAATCATAAATTATTGAAACTTTAAATTGAGAAATTAATGTTCATAGGAAAAACCGTAACACCAACAAAAACCTTTATATAGAAGCAGTGATATAAGCTCATTAAAACATCTTTAAGCAGACTAAATTTTGATTAGATTCTGCAGTATAAAGAACCCACTATTAAATTTTATTGCAATTTCAATGATTCAGAATCACATAATTTTAATGTCATGGTATCCCTTTCAAAACATGAAAACCTTATACTGAAGGAAAATCCACATTTGAAAATTCAAGGCTACCACCTAAACAACGGGTACATATCAAAAACCATCAAAATTCAGCTTGGCATGGTGACCCCTACCTGTAATCTCAGCTACTTGGAAAACTGAAGCAGGAGGATCATAAGTTCAAGGCCAGCCTGGGCAACTTAGCAAAACCCTGTCTCAAAAATAATAGAAAGGCTAGGGATATAGGCCCATGCTTAGAGGTTTACACACTAAAATTGAAATTCATCCAAGTTTTGATAGATAAATCTTCCCAATAAAAAAGTACATATGAAAAAACCTTGATCCATCTCAACTTACAGTTACGGAATTTTGTTTCTAATTATTCAGATAGTAAATATATGCCTCTGTGCTCACTTTAGCAGCACATATACTGAAACTGGAGCATTTCAGAGAAGATTCGCATAGTCCTTAATTGAGCATGACATGCAAATTCATAAATACATGCCTTAAAAGAAAGCTTCTGGTTACACTAATAATTATATTTAGTAACAAAATAGTTAATAAACTAGTGTATACAATTGGACATTACACTTTATACAGAGAAATTCTAGGAAAACATTCAAAATCTATTTTCTGTGTTTTTCTTTTAAAGTAAATAAATGACAGAAAAAAACATACTCAACCTTTCTTTTTTGGATTCATTGTCAGTTTTGTACTTTTCAAAATCTTGGCTAAGAGACAGCAGCTTTTCTTGAAGTCTCTTTTCACGTTCCACACCTCCTTGATAAAATATCATCTCTTTTTCCATTGCTTTCACTTTTTCTTCCATAGCTTTAAATTCATGAAGAATTAGATAGCTGACTCCACAGTAGTTACAAACTTTTTCTTCAGGAGACATCTAGGAAACAGAACATACATTACTGAATTGATGCTTTAATTATGAAAAATAAAGTTCACCTGAAGATGTTTCTGTAACCATGCTGGTTAAATGAAGGAAATTTATGGTGAACTCTGTCATGGAGCAATAACTACAACATTGCCTACATCTGGATAAAATTTTAAAAACTAGCTCATTGACTCTGACCTAAAATTCTAGAACTAGAAAAGGGTCTCTTGGAGTAATTACTTCTCTACAGTATCTCTAAAAAAGACTTACTCTTGAAGTATTTTCCACAAAATAAAACTAAAAATGATGAAAACATCTTTACAATTCTTATTTTAAGATGAGCTTTCCATAAAGTTGGAAGAAATCAATGGCTTTTTACTGCCAAATACTCTATGATCCTGGAGAAGCCGCTTGGCCTTGTCAGATCTTATTTTCCTCATTTATAAAATAATGGAGTTGAACCAAATGAACTTTAAGTTATTACTCTGTCTCAGCATTTTATGATTTTTTTTACAGAATTTAATATTTTGTCACAAGCATAAAAATATCTTTAATCTCTACTCTCTAGATCAGTTCCTTTCCCTCTAAGAGGTAAGGTTATATCCATTTTATAGATTAAAAACAGAGACTACTGTAGTTAATAACCAGTTGATATGTAGAAAAGTTGCGGTTTAAACACACATCTATTTAAAACCAGCGCTCAGCTCTTTAATCATTTGTATTCTACAGCAGTGATCTTCCATGTGCGTGTGTCAGTTAAATCTTATTGCTTCAGAAAGTGTGCCTGTGGCTCTGGCCAACACAGCGGAAGTGACAAACGGAATTTCAGCAAAGTCAGAAGAAAGATGGTTCATTTTTCTGTCTCAAGTACAAACATTCCTCATGTAGCATCTGTTTCTTTTGCTTTTCACAAAGGCTAAGAAGTAGCTTCATAAAATATGTGCTCCAATGCACTAAAACTGAAATAACCTTTTGAATTATGAAGTACATATTCATAATGCAACCTTCCCTTGAGATTATAGAAACCACTCCAGAAACTAAGAGTGATAGCACTACATCTACTTATCACAAATGTTGGTTGGAACAAACTAATAACCAAACTTCATAAAATAAAATTTTGCTCATTTTAACATTAATAAAATTTTATATTAAAAACCACAATACAGTAGGCAAATGACTATATCAATCTCCTAATTGCTGATGGAAGTTTGTAGATTTATAAAACATCAGTTTTTAAAGAAATCATAATCTAGGTCAAGTTCTGGATGATTGTTCAAGTCTATTCCATGATATACTGTCCAGCTTTTATTTTAACATTCTCAAAGGACAAGAAACTACAAAAAATTCTGTTCTATCTTCTGTCTTTTGTCTCTTAGGAAGTTTGATCATTTCTAAGTCATTTTATCCATCTAACTCTTTGATTTTAAAAATGTAACTAAGTTGAGGCTACAACTTCCTACCAGTTCATGTCTCCTTGATTGATCTACTTACTACTCAGTACATTTCAGATACAACCTTCATCTAATTATTAAATCACCCAGCTATCTTCGTAAAATTATTCATACTCTCTTTGGGAATATTATGAAAAACTTTATGATATATTTTCATAAAGTTCATGTATTCTATGTGTAGTACACATCCTAGTAACCCTACAAAAAAATGAAATGGCAAAATGGCAAGGCTGCATGCTGCCTTTTAATGTACAAAATGTTCCAGGGGTTATTGTTTTTGCTAATATATCTGCAAAAATCGCCTTTTAATAGTAAACTGCAAAACCTTGTCTGGAATTGAAATTAAGCTCACTGGTTATAATTTATAGGCATTTCATAATGAAACAGCATCCTCTTTTGACAAGTCCACAAAGATACCAAGAATGGCTCTGTGATCCCATTCAAAGATACTATCAGCCCTCAAGAAAATAATTCATCCAGGTCAAGAAACTTGAACTAATTCAGAACAGATGGCTATTTCCTTACAATTCCTCTACTCAACTTGAATTTTGGTTCCTCTTTGTCAATTGAAAATTATATCACTAACTCTGAGAAAAATTTTCATCCGTAACCTTTGCTTATTAACCACAGTTCTCATCCTTCTCCTGGCAAAATATTACAGAAAGAAAATTTCTGTCGGGTAGAATATCTGCAGCATGATGCACAAAAAATAAATACAATAAATTCCACATTGTGAAAATTATTAGAATAAATAACATTTATCATAGCAATCAAAGGAACAAAAAAACCGAAATTAGTGAAATAATACCTTTTAAGGAAGAGAGTTATAGAGTAAAGAAAAGAGAAAACATGAAATTCATTATGATCTAGGAAACAAAACAATTATACAATAATAGGTCCACAAGAGTGATCTCCAGATGTTCCCTGGCATAACCCAAATCCCTGAATGATCTATGTTAAATAAGCATACTACACCCAAGTTTTAAATGCTATTAAATTACAAATAATTTTCTGTAAGCAAAATCGTAACATAAAAAATGTAATAACCTTTTCAAATTCCTAGTGTTAGCTAATTAACTTAGGATATTTTTTTGTGAAACTTGAGAAGATATGAAACACTATAATTATGCTCCCAAATGAAGCAAGTAAAAGGGTTTTTAGTGAAATACAATTTGTGCTTCATTCGTATAACTTTGTGTTATATCATCTCATTTTGAAAGTAAAATAATGACATGCTGTCATTCTTGATAAAAGGGCTATAATTAGGATGTTTTTGCTGTCTACAATATACACATTGGAGGAACATTACAAATGCAGTATATTAAACAAATGCAAAGTCATGTGCAAGTAAATTATAAAACAAACTTCCTAAAAATACCATTTATAGTTTTAAAATTATAATTGTTTAATATAAAAAACATATAAACTTTTCAAAACGTTAAATTAGGCTGCAGCTCTTTTTCAGAGTTCCTGACTTGATTTAAATTAGAAAAGGCACTTAGTACTTTCATGCCACCCAACTGAGAGAGTCTCTGCTCCAAAAACTGCACCTCCTTCTCTGACCCATCCCATACTTTTTGTGTGTGGCTAAAGCAAAAATAAACAGATAAACTATTTGACAAAGTCAAGAATGACAGCAATATAAAACGTTAACCATATTAAGAAGTTTTGCATTTTAAAAAGTATCTTGCTCAAGATAGTGTCTAACTTGTAAATTTCACTCCAATTGGCAGAAAATTTTTAAGGTAAGACAGTGGATCTTTCGAACCCTTAATCATACAAACCAACTGACCATTTCATAAAACCAGTAGGATCTTTCCACTTTATTAAATGAACTTGTTGCACTACCAATTTATAAAATAAAAACTGGTACAAAGCAATTACAAAGGAAAATTACAGCTACCTTATCCTTAACACTGAAAGACTGAGTGCCCTTACCCTAAGATTGGGGGAGAGAGGCAAAAATGTCTTCTCTCATGGCCCTTATTCAACATAGTGCTAGAAGCTCTAGCCAGAATAATAAGTTAGGTAAGAAGAGAAAATAAACTGTCCTTATTTGAGATGACGTGATTATCTACATAGAAAATCCCAAGGAACCTATACTAAAACTCTTTGAATGAGTAGGTTCAGCAAGGTTGCATGACTCAAAAATAACACAGACAAATCAATTATATGTACTTTTCAGGAGCACAAGGACACTAAAATTAAGTTCCTAGGGTTGTAGCTCAGTGGTAAAGTGCTTTCCTAGCATGTACGAGGCTCTGGATCTAATTGATCACCAGTAAAACGCACACACAGTTGTTAAAAACATTAAATTAAGTATAGATATACAGATATATATACACATACATACATGATTTATTGCTGAAAACTACAAAATGCTGATGAACTAAATTGAAGAACATCTAGATAAAGGGAAATACATTTTAGTATATGAGTTGGATGATTCAAAATAATAAAGCTATCAATTCTTCCTAAATTGATAAATAGGCATAATTTAATTCCTATCAAAATCTCAGAAAGATACTTAAATTTATTCAGAAAGCCAAAGGAACTAGAAAAGCTAAAAATAATACAGAAAAATAAAAGATAAAGTAAAAGAAATCACCATAATTTCAAGACATATATTATATTGCTACAGAAATCATGATTGTATTGTACCAGTAAAAGGAAAGATAGACAAATCAATGCAACAGAATATAGAACCTAGAAATAGACCTATAAATATGCCAAAATTAATTTTTACAAAGGTACAAAAAGAATTCAACGCAAGAGATAGCCTTCTCAACAAATACTGCAATTGACTAATCATAGGTTTTTAAAAAAAGGACATTGGGGCTGGGGATTTAGCTCAGCGGCATAAGCGCCTGCCTTGCAAGCAGGTAGTCGTGAGTTTGATCCCTGGTACCGATAAAAAGGAAAAAGACAAAAAAAAAAAAAAAAGACATTAACTTAAAATTCATACTATACACACAAGTATATTCAAAATGGATCACAGACTTACTTGTAAAACATAAAAATCTTATTTTAAAACTGAGTATAGTAGCTCACGTCTATAATGCCAACTACTCAGGATGGACTACAAAATTCAAGGCCAGCCTGATGATCTCAAAATAAAAAGGACTGGGGATATAGCTCATTGCAAGTCCTTGGGTTGAACATTCAGTACAGCGGTGAGTTTAAAAAAAAAAAAATTATATATATATATATATATATATATATGTAGTGCCAAAGCTATATACAGATTTGTATTAGGAGAAAATCTTCAAGATCCAAATTAGTCAAAGAATTCTATATTTGGTAATTAAAAAATGACCCATAAAAGGAATATTTGATACTTAGACTTCACCAAAATTAAATACTTTTGCTCTGCAAAAAAAAAAAAAAAAAAGATAATATAGATAGCATTTTCAAATCATATTGTCTAACCCAGCAGTTAAAATTAGCAAAAGACATAAAGAAACATTTCACCTAAGAAGACATACAAATGTTTATAAGCATATAAAAAGATGTTCAACATTACTAGCCACTGAAAATACAAATTAAACCACAATGAGATAT